AAGCCACTTCAGAAGAACATAGTTCTGCAGCACATCATGTACAGATAAGCGAGCCGTCAGATGTCTTTATTTTCTTCTTACTCTATCAGTGGACTCAACACCAGACTGAATTACATAATAATTTAACTTATTCCCAGTAACACACATTCATCTGCCTATCAAATTTAACTGCTCATTAATTGAAGGAACCAGAATACAGTTCAGGATCCTTCCAGCCTACTTTAACCACTGGTTATGGTTAAAGACTCTCTTTCCACCTCCAGACTCCCTGATACTGGGTGTAAATCTATTTCTCTAATGCTCTTAAGAAAAAAAAGATAAGAAAGATAAGAAAGAATCAATAGATGCATGTATGTAAAATAATAATAATTATAACTAGTGAAGTTAATTAGTTAAAGTCAAATAAGAGAAAAACACTGGGAATATTTAACATAAGCTTAAAAAAGGCCATAGTTGGACATTTATTGCATCATAAAAGGCCTTATCAGTATAAGATTAATCAAACTTACAGCTCAGAGGTAGAACAATAAGAGAAAAGGAGAAACTGCTGAGCTGCTCCAGTAAACAAAGACTGACTCTCCTTATCTCCTCAGTGATATACTTCTCTGTGTGTGTTTTTTAGGATGAAGCCAAACAACAGATCTTAACTAGACTTGAGTTTTTTCCGGCAGTGATAAAGGTAATTATGTGTATTATCTCCATTTGTCTCCTGTTGTAATACTTAGTGTTTATTAACTACTACTGATGAAATGTGGTAACTGATGTCGCAGACATGTGTGTCGTAACCCTAGAGATACACAATGGAGGCACTAATCACAAATTTTCATGTACAGCTTTTAATTCCTTTTAATTTAGAGCAGTTTTAAACATTTATTCGTTCACCAAAAACAGTCTTTGCCTTCATAAATTTTGACATTGAAACGATGAGTAAATATTCCCTTTGAGTGCAGCTGCCAGTGGTTGTTTCCACATTGATGAAAATCGACGTCCGTGGAATTTTGTGACTTTTGCACAAACACACTAAAGACAGATAGCATCAACAGTGCAGGGAAAATGTAAATTTTAGTTTCTGAGTGCAGTTTATCCATACTGCACGAACAGAAGGTAAAATGACAGAACACGGGCAGTCATTCCACTTCTTTGTGTCAGTTGTGTGGTTGTCCTGCATCCCAGTAGACAAAATCTACTGCACAACCATCAGACCACATCCTTCTGCCTTCTTTATGGAGGTCAGTAAGGTTTTGAGGAAAAAAATAAACATTTTTATAAGACAGTCTTTAAAGGGTGGTGAAAGGATTTTATTTATTCATCTCAGAGTTGAAGTGATTGACTGTTCATGTAAATGGACTGGTTCTTACAGAGTGCTTTTCTACTCTGAGACTTCAAAGTGCTTTACACTTGTTCATTCACCCAATCACACAAGCACTTTTTCCTAAGTTGTTACTAACTAACATTCACACAGCATTCACAGTCTGGTGGATACATCAGAGAGCAACATGGGGTTAGTATCTTGCCCAAGAATATTTGACATGTAGACTGGAGCAGACTAGAATTGAACCACCAACCTTCCAGTTAGTAGGTGACCTGAGCTACAGCTAACAAAACATTTGTCATGTTTCTACAAATATGGAAAATCTATTGTTAAAATCAATTCTGGGAAGATCAGTGAGGAGGTGTATTTTCTGCATTCATCCCTATCTAAAGTACTAAATGCGTCCTGATGAAACATGCAAGCGCACGTCTGTGACACCAAATACGTGCTTGAATGTTTTGTCATGGGCCCTGTAACCCCAGAGTTTCTAAGGGCAGGTTATCTGCGTTGCACAAACAGAAGCTAAATTGAAAGAACATGGGTTATCATTCCACATCTTTGCTTCAAAGTTAGTGTGAACACAGTGTTCAACTGTTCCAGCGTTGTCTGGTTGTCCAGCACTCCAGTAGGTGAAACTCACAGCGCAACCATCAGACCACATCCATCTGCCTTCTTTATGGAGGTCACTCAGTCCAATCCAGGTCCATCCCTCAGCATGGTCAAAGTTCTTAATTAATAATTTAACAAACTGCTCTTCCTCCCTGCTGTGGATAGAAACCAGGTTGGCTCGCTGTGACACACAGTAGAGCTCTGCATCAGCCCAGCTCATCTGTGTGGCCACATATTTGTAGCAGCGGCCATTGAAACTGAACCAGAACAGGGGACAGCTTCCTTGCCGTAGTTCAACTCTGTGGTCATCTGAAGAAGACACAGCAGTCAGAACAACAATAAATGAAATGAAAAACAAACAATAACTGTTTTTGTCAGTGTGACTGACATTTTTCTTTGATCTAACCTCTGAAGAATATCAGAAAAGCATGTCTGCACAGCTGACATGGTGAAAGTTAAAACATGCAGTGAAGTAAGCTGCTCTTATTATGTTTACAGGCAGGACTTTATCATAATTATACAGTATAGTAGAACGCATCTGACATGCAGAAAAAAATCTATGTGTTTGACTAAAATGTAATTAAGATAATAAACACACACACACACACACACACACACACACATAAAGCTGAAATAAAGGAGGGGAGGGAAGATTTAGAATATGGGATGGTTACCAAGTTGTAGCTTCACTTCACTTCCATCAGAATGAGACTCAGA